GCCGCAACGTGGAGTGTGTAAACCTGGAGCAAAGGACAGAGCAGAACAGTGCGGCTCTTGGTTGGCGAGCAAACAAATCACCTAGAGACTCTGTTAAAATGCAGATTCTGACTCTGGAGGCCTGGGTGGGACCTGGACATCTGCATTTCTAACTAGCTGCTAGGGACGCTCATGCTGCTGGCTCACAGCACACACGTTCAGGTAGCAAGGATGTGGTCACAGGACCAAAGGCTGCGCACACTTGGGCCTTTTCCTCCTTTCCTCTGCAGTCATTTGCCTTTTGATTATGGGCAATTGTTTCATATATATATATTTTTCTATTGATCAGAGAGGAAGAGAGAGGGAGATAGAAACATCAATGATGAGAGAGCCACTGATCAGATGTCTCCTGCACGCCCCCCACTAGCGATGGAGTCCGCAACCCAGGCATGTGCCCTGACCAGGAATCGAACCATGACCTCCTGGTTCATGGGTTGCCGCTCAACCACTGAGCCACACTGGCCAACGTGGGCAAGTTTTTAGTGTCAGACTGGGCAGAGGGAAACCTGCTCGGAGAAGTGGGAAACCAGGATCATCAGCCAGTCCCGCACGTGACTCTCCCCTTTTCTTCTCCCAGATACACTTGATGGGTGACACTTCCACGCGTGAATCACTTCGGTTTTACCATCCATGAAATGAACACGTTGGGCTGGGTCTCTGAAGGCCTCTTCTGGTCTGACAGTTCTGAGTGGAGGAAATGGCCTGGAGGCGTTAGCTTTGTAAATCTGGTGCAACAGAAGGAAGCTCCGTCTACAGTCGGGCGGTTCTCAGGATCCCCGCTCACTGCTCCTCTTTCATCCCTCTGCAGGGGAGATTTGTGCGTTCAAGATCCACGGCCAGGAGCTGCCCTTTGAGGCCGTGGTGCTCAACAAGACATCGGGAGAGGGCCGGCTCCGTGCCAAGAGCCCCATCGACTGTGAGCTGCAGAAGGAGTACACATTCATCATCCAGGCCTATGACTGTGGCGCGGGGCCCCGGGAGACAGCCTGGAAGAAGTCACACAAGTGAGTCGCCTGACACAGCTCCTGGACCCCCTCCCACTCTTGCCCACCATCTCTGTCACACACTACTCTACAGACATGTGCACCCAGTGGCCATACCGTGGTGCTCCAGCCTACACAGCTGCTGGCCAGTTCCTAGGCCACTGCAGGCACCGGTACCACCACTTTCTCCACCTGAAATCCTCTACCCTTTGCTTCCCAGGGAGACAGCTCTGTTCCACCCTCAGAACTGAGTGCAGGCGGCCCTTCCTTGGGGAAGCCTTCCTTGAGCCACCCCGGCCTGCAGACTTGTTGAGAGGTTGAGACCTTTCCCTGGGTTCTGCCATGCCACGTGCTTCTCTCTGTCCTAGCAACTCTTCATGTTGGGTTGTAACTCTCTCCCTAATGGACTTTGACTCAGAGACTAACACAGAATAAGAGTACTTAAATTCTTACTCAATGGAGGAGTGAGTGAACAGATGACGGATTGATGAGGGAGAGGAGAGACAGTCCAGAGGAATGCTGTTGTCAAGGGCGACAAGGAAGGTCAACGAATGGGGAGGAGTTGCCCTGGGGTGAATTCATCGCAGGGGATCAGGACGAGGGCCGGTAGAAGGGTCTCCAGTGAGATGGCAGACAGAACACTCAGACAACAACTGCCTGACCGGCTTGTGGTTTCTCCATTTTCTTGGTGTTGGGGCCTGAGTCGGTGTCCATGGGCGGCGCGGAAGATGGTACAATTGTTTCTTTACCACCATCTCTTCTTGTCTGTGTGTGGTTCCAGGGCCGTGGTCCATATCCAGGTGAAGGACGTCAATGAGTTTGCTCCCGCCTTCAAAGAGCCCGCCTACAAGGCTGTGGTGACCGAGGGCAAGATCTACGACAGCATCCTACAGGTGGAGGCCGTCGATGAGGACTGCTCCCCCCAGTACAGCCAGATCTGCAACTATGAAATTGTCACCACCGATGTCCCTTTTGCCATTGACAGAAATGGTGAGTGTCCTGAGAGGACCCCAGTGGGGGCAGGGAAACAACCCCCACCCCATTCTGAAGGCCAAGTGGGGGCCTGAATGTACTCAGCAGGCAATGCCTCCCATGCCATCCCTGATCTAGGCTCTATAACCCAGAACTCAGCCCTGCTCTGGAGAGATGGCCTGGCATTATTAGCAGCCCAGCCAGGTATAAAACACCCCCAAGGCACCTACTCAGTGGGTACAGCCTATAGAGCTCACAAGGCCATTCATCTGCACACAGCTTGGTTTTCTGGTGGAATTTTTCAGTTGTCACCTAGACATGAGTCATGCCCTCAACTCGGCCATGTGTGTGTCCCTTTCTTACATAACCAGTTGTAACATCACCTCACACAACAATCTGTTTCTGGCTCCTAAACAAAGAGAAGGTGGAGATTTCTGAAACACCTTCTAAGCTGTAGATCCATTCAGGAATCTTAAAAGGTCTTGTCAAAGTCCTTTGAGAATTTCTACTCTACTGAGAATGAAGGATGGAAGAACCCTCCCACAACATCCCAATCTCAAACTGAACTTACTGAAGTAAAAACAGTCCTAATAAAGCCTTGTGGACATTTCTCCATCACCATTCATTAAAAACTCATTGTAGTGTAAACATGACAGCCAGAGGCCCAATCAATTCAGCCCCTTTTAACTGCAATTTTCAATAACTTCATATCAATCTAATGAAAATTATTTGTCAAGTATTTTATTTCATTATTAGCATGAGTGTATGGGTTCATGTATATTACCCCCCTTTGTTTCAAATGGGATTTAAGTTCTGCACAAAGACTCAAAAGCAGCAAAACCTGAAGTTCGTCCACTCTGTAAATAATTATATTTATTCAGTGCTTGGAACTGGGAATGGAGATAGAGTAGAACCTAAAACAGACATGGGCCTGTCCACATGGAGCTTACCATCTAGTGGGGGAAAATTCAAAATAAAAGATACAAAGTCAGGTGACATAAAGGTTGGTATGCAAAGCATGCCATGAGCCAGGGCTGGGCAACAAATTAGCTCTGAGCTTCCTGGTAGCCAAGACCTAGAGGGAAATATCATCCGTCACCTGCTTGCAAGTCTTCAGTGATTCCAGTGCTTCTCGATGTTGAGACCAGGGAGAAACCGACCCCGTATAGTGTCTTCTGCCTCCCGAGAACTGCAGCAGATTCCAGAAGGGAAGGAAGCCAAGGAGAAACCCTCCTCCCTGACCTCCAGTCGTCTGTGATGTGTCTTGTAAGAGGAAATCAGTATTCCTAACAGAAGGCAGTTTCCTTATAAAATGCTAAAATACCTGGACATTACCAGATGCTGATTGTGTAGGATACAAGATCAGTGCATAAAAAGTAAGATATAAAATGCTAGACTTCAATTAACGTTTGGTTTGGGACTAAGAAATAGATCATTTCAACTAGTAGAGCGTGTCAGAACTGCTCTCTGATAGCTTTTCATACAGATGGGTGGCCCATCCCCACCACACAGACACGTATCTCACAACACACACACACACACACACACACACACACACACCCCACTTCATAAAATATGAACAACTCTTTTGTATTTTTTCTGTTCCTCCATAACCAGCTGTTGGGTCTATGTCTGCAAAAACTAGCATTTGGGGAGTGACAAGTACCTCATGAAGAGCAGGACTAGAGAAGGAGGTGTCTGTGATGAGTGGTCGAGCTCCCCTTGATCCCCTGCCTTAGTCCTGGAGAGCCACAAGCCAATGAGAGATGAGATGCAAATTCTTTCATCAGAGGGTAAACTGCCCCAGTCATGGAGATAATTACTCACCTTGATGAGCCATTTCACTAACATATGCCAATTTATTTCCCTCACTGTCTCATTAAAAGTGAGTAATGGTTCTTTGCCAGGCCTCTGCCTCCAACATTGGTTTACAAAGTAAGATGAAGAGGAGAGTGGGCACTCCCAGGGAGTGTGGGCCCCTGACAGTGAGGTTACAAGAACAGTTCTCCAAGTAATGAAGGTAGGACCCAGGGGCAGGCACAGAAACAGCTCCCATTCTAATGAGCTTCCCAATTGGCTCTTATCCATCACTCCTCCAGCGACCTTACAGGCTCCTTGAAGAAGTTCTTTGCATGCATATCAGAAAAAGTACTACTGAGTTGGGGCCCACTCACTGAGACTGCAGGGCTTCAGGTGGATGGCTCCTCCTCCCCCTTGCCCCCAACCTGCCAGGCTCTTTGTTTGTGAGGGAAGGAAGGGGAGCAGGGCACAGGGAGGACAGAATACAATGTGGAGTCTGAATGACCTGTCTTAACGGAAGACTCGACCTCTTTCAACAGAAGTCCTCAGCCTCCCTCCCCTGTGAAATCAAAGCAGTAATTGGGACATGATGGTTACTCACTCACTCCCCATGGGTTTCCAGGCTGAAATTATAAACAGGTAACTCTGAGCTGGTGACATCACCCACCTCCTGGGAAGTTCTAGATCGATTTCAGATGGCTGCCAGGCCCCCATCTTCTGGCATTTGGCTGGTCTCTCAGAGATCGGTAGGGCCTAGATGCTCATTTCCATTGAACAGATGGAAAAACTGAGTCCCCAAAGCATAAAGCACTTGCCTGTCAGCACCTATCATGCAGGTGGCAGAGTTGGGACTAGAGCCTACGTCCCCCGAGTGATGGCCCCAAGGCCTTTCCACCAGTGACATCATTACTCTCCTTACTGATATTTGACAGGAATGCATGGCAATGGTCTTTAAGTTCAAAAACACAAAATTGCATCTTAATCCTACATCCATCCCTGTGTGTGTGTGTGTGTGTGTGTGTGTGTGACCAGTGACATCATTACTCTCCTTACTGATATTTGACAGGAATGCATGGCAATGGTCTTTAAGTTCAAAAACACAAAATTGCATCTTAATCCTACATCCATCCCTGTGTGTGTGTGTGTGTGTGTGTGTGATCCTTGACCAGTTGCTTAACCTTGCTCAGATCCTCATCAGTAAAATGGGAATTAAATATCTTGCCCATGTAAAGGGTGGATAAACAGCAAAGGAGGCATTCACCAGAGCTTTGCCACAGCCAGACTCTCAACCACGTTTGAGACTGACCACAGAGGGTACAGCGGGGACTCAATGACACCCACTCACCACTGGACAGACTTGTCTGATTGTCAGGGGTGCCTGGTCTCAGCCGAGTTCTCTGCCAGCCGCTGCCCACAGAGTAATGGGGCTGATGCCTCTGAGTGAAGTGCATCCTGGAGTCAGTGTGTTCTTACAGTAAATGAAAACACTTCTTTTCCACCTGAATAGAAGAGCAGCACAAGCCCTCGTGGGAATTTTGGAAAGCATAGAAAAGTGTGAAGAAGAAAATCAGTCACGTATAATCCCACCAAAGATAACCACCATTAAACATTTTTTTAAAAGGTAACCACTATTGACACTTTACCAGTAGTTTTCTGACTTTTTAAATAAAAGTATGGCCCCACATCTCTTGCTTTTCTTTATCCTCCCATTTTTTGCTTCACATTCGATAACATGGATTTTTTCCACCCTTAAAAGTGCTTCATAATGACCGCGTTCAGTGCTGAACAACACTCCATCTCACACAGACGCTTATCCTTAGCTCTCCCCTGCAACCAGACATGCCATTTCTCTTCTATTTTTTCGAGGTAATAAATAATGCTGCGGCGGACCTATTTTCACATGTATTTACAATTTTTCACAATAAACATCTGAAATTTTTCTGGAACCAATTTTTAGATGTGGAATTGCATGCCCCGCAGGTATGAATAATTGCAAAGTGACTGGCCCATATAGTTTTCCAAAAGGGTTGTTCCAAGTTCAGGTCCAGGGGAGGGAGTGTGCAGGTCACTGTGCTTGCCTCATTGCACCCTCCCCACCTGAGTTTTACAAAATTGCCTTCACCAACTTGCAAGGTACAGGCTAACTGTTCTTTGAGAGTTAGCTGCCCAAGCTCATGTGGACAGGGGAATAGGCCCCAGGGGCAGCCATTCACCTGGATTAACTGTGGACTCAGCTAACTGAGAAAGCACTACCAGGAGAAATCACTCAAATGTGAGGGGGGAAATAGAATTGTAACAGAAGCAAAATGGATGGCTTCTTCTGAGCTATCGAAATGTGCTAAATGGGTGTCTTATCCAGATGTTGCCCTCCCCACAGGACGGTGGGTCCCAACATTGCCTCTCATGGTGACCCACTGCTGCACATCTGTGCTCTGAATCTTATCCTCACAGGCCTGAAGGTGGTGGTGGCGGAGAAAGTAAATTAGTTTCTCAGACAGTTTCATTAAGACAGTTACGGGAGAGGAGCGGCAACAAATTGAGCCCAGGATTGCCGGCCCGTGTGTTTATTTTTCTAGCACAATCAATAGTGTTTGGTCTGCTTAATGTCACACGGATTGTAAACCCTAAGCCTTCCTCTTCTCGGAGACGTATCTTTAGAGAGCCATTTCACTTGAAAGAGAGAGAAAGCTAAAACTTTTTGTTGAAAATTCAATCTGATGTCGCTGAAACCTCCTACTCACGGTTATATTCCGGCGCCTGCACCTGCAGAATCCCTCCCCTGTGATAACTGTAACCACAAATGAGTTTGTTAAGGGAACCCCGGGGGAGTGTTACCAACCCGATTCTGAGCCGTCCCGGACCTGTACGGGCTGCACGCTGAGACTGAAACAAATATTTGGGGGAAAATGAAAGGGATTCTGAATACCAGCCACAAGGCCAAAAATACCTCAAACCCGTTTTTATTCAGAGATTTTTGACTGGCTTTGTCAAAGTAAATCTTACTTCAAATCCGTGGTTGCAGTTGCATTTTTAGAAACAATTCGGAGAAGGTAGCAGAACAAATGATTTGAATGCTTGGTCCAATGTCATGGGCAACTTCATCCCTCCTCACCACCACTCACCTCCACTCCCTCCTCCTCCTCCTCACAGGCACGCACATTTATTGCACCTGCTCCTAGCCTACAACTGAGTACTGTTTAAGACTGGGTGATTGGTGGATCAACTTGTCCGATCTTTAAAACATTATGTGACTTTTCTAATTCCCCAGGCTTTCTTGCCTTAGTCCCTGTTATCTCAATTCACATGAACAATAATCAGTTGGAATGGAAGAAAGCTCATTTGGTAGTTTTCCCTTAGTTTGGATGAAATCTAAAAATTTGTGTGAGTCAGCCATTCCACACTTGTTTATTTGCTTGTTAGTTTGTTTTGCCTTTAATTTCCACTTTCTTAATTTCACTTCTGGTAAAGGATGATGATAGCATTTGAGTTCTAATTTGCTGTCAGCTCCACCATCAGGAAAAAAATAATGCAAGAATGAAATCAGTCTCAACAAAGGAAGACTTGCATCTCTTGGAATCAAAAACTAAAAATTATTCAGTGCACATTGGGCCTCTCATTAGTTTCTTGGAACCAAAATGGTATTTTAGCAAAAATCGTCAATTAAAGTTTTGCTTGTTATTTATCAAATATTTATTCCTGAATCATAATCTCACACCCACAGGGATGAAAACACACAAATGGCTCATAAAAAACGGTTTGGTCTTTCTGGGAGAAGAAAAATGTCTTTGCCACCAGGGCAAGGAATCGGTTATTCTGTGCAGCTTTGCAAGAGAGGTCACACGTTTTCTTATTGATTTTACTTCCTATTTGGTAGCAAAATAATGTGAGAAGAGGCAGTGAACATTCCTGGCAATGAGCCCAGATGTTAAAAAATATGTGTCAGGACATTTCTGAATTCCATCTTTTTTTTCCCAGAGATTTCATGGCAGATGAGCTCTGGGCCTGACGTCAGGGCCGCAGCCGCATGGGGCACTTTGAGAGAGAGTTTTCCAACAGCCCATCACTTACACACACAAACCAGTCGGGTCCCAAATGCGTGCTTGGGATTCGAAGCAGCCCTGCCCCACAGCTGGGGTGGCTCCAGTCAACTGATCCTGGAATCTGCCACCGAGGAACAAGCAGGCTGCCTGTGGAAGCCATGGCCTCCTGTACCCTTGACCTTACCAAGGGATAGGGAAGGGGCTCATTTCATTCTGGTGGAGGTTGGAGGAGTGGGGAAGGGATGTGGGAGAACGGCAGCGTGCTCAACTTGATCTGAAACCACGCTGAATGTCTCTGTGTCCTCAGGCAACATCAGGAACACCGAGAAGCTGAGCTATGACAAGCAGCACCAGTACGAGATCCTGGTGACCGCCTACGACTGTGGCCAGAAGCCTGCCGCTCAGGACACCCTGGTGCAGGTGGACGTGAAGCCAGTGTGCAAGCCTGGCTGGCAAGGTGGGCCTGCTTTTGTCAGTCCTCTGAGGAAAGGCAGCTGGACCTGGTGCATGGAAGCTGCTAGACCTATCCTCAAATCGGCAAACTTGTGGCTAGAGGGATTTTTAAAGTGCAGTCACTCTGCTGCAGGAAATAGAGTAGCTGGTTCATTCTGACAGCTCCTAGGGTTATAGTATCTCCATTTCACAGGTGAGAATGCCCGAGGTAACTTGTCTAAGGTCACAGGCTCCGTTTGTCCAGTGTGCTCTTTCTCAGATCTCATGGCATCTTTGGATCAATAGTAATTACCCACGGTGCTCAGCAGGTGGCCAGCAGGCCTGTTCACTTTATCGCAGAGTGCTGAGTCGGGCTGTTGCATTTCAAATGTGGCCTCATTACTCAACACCCCGGGCAGGGGGGGCTTGCACAGAGGGCGTCCAGGCAGAGGCTGGAGAGCCACACCCGGCCTCTAGGCTAAGGGGTTTCTAAAACGTTGACTCTGGGGATGGCGAGACAATGCCTCGGATGAAGGATCTGCTTTGTGCTCACTTAGATCGTTAGGGCGCAGGGATAGAACAAAGGTCTGGGTTACCCTTTGATGCCGGAGGTTTGTCACCGAGCTAAGGGGAAACCAGGAGGCAAGGCCAGCTGCGTAGATGGTCTTACAGAGAATTGGATGCATGGTGCATGGAATAAAGACGGCTCTAGCAGTAAGAGGCTGGAGAGCCACACCCGGCCTCTAGGCTAAGGGATTTCTAAAACGTTGGCTCTGGGAATGGCGAGACAATGCCTCGGATGGAGGATCCGCTTTGTGCTCACTTAGATCATTAGGGTGCAGGGATAGAACAAAGGTCTGGGTTACCCTTCGATGGCGGAGGTTTGTCACCAAGCTAAGGGGAAACCAGGAGGCAAGGTCAGCTGTGTAGATGGTCTTACAGAGAATTGGATGCATGGAATAAGGAGGGCTCTAGCAATGACATTGATGGTTCCGGTGGCAGAGCAGTTACCTCTGGGCTACTAGTTTGGCTGCTTGACTGCTCCTGTTTCTGCTTCGTGTGTTGATGTTATGGGAGGCTACTGCTTATCCATGTCTCGCGGTGCTTTGTGGAGTCCTCCACTCTGTGGCTGCTGTTTATTGCCTTCCCTAGGTGTGTCTTTAAGCTTCAGGCCCCTGTTATATTTTCTCTCTCTCCCTTCCTCTCTCTCTCTCTCTTTCTCTGTGTGTGTGTGGGGCGGGGGGTAGGTGGGTGTATCTTTCATTCTTAAATTCCCTCATAGAGGGTGCAATTCGCTGTGTTGGTCACTCACATCCCTATGGGGCAGACTGATGCCAGGCCACCATCTAGGTCACTGGCCGGACTCTGAATGGTAGTCAGGCATTTATTCCTAATCCAATTTGTCAGGGCCAGACTAGCAAGACCTCGGGGTGCAAAGCAAGGACACCTGGGGTCACTTCCCTCACAAGGCAGCTCTCAAAGTGCTCCTCTGCTGCACAGCCTGTCCCCCTTAATCTTTCAACTGGAAAGCTGGGAGGAGCAATAAACCCACCTCTGGACAGGGTTAGGGTCATTTGCCTTTGAACGAAGAGGTGATGAGCTCAGTAAGACACATGAGACATGAAGAACAAAGTAGAGACGTCTTTGTGTTGGTCTGTTTAGGATGAAGCAAGAAACAGAGAAAGAGGGACAAGCAAGCGTGACAAGCTGTGTTCCCAACCTCAGGGAGCCTGAGCTCTGGTTGGGGATAATTCACTGAGGACCCTGAGGGCAAGATTCTGTCTCTCTTGTTCACCAGCGAATTCTTCAGGCTTGGCACATGTCTAGTCCCGACGTTAGGTGCTCAAGAAATAGCTGTTGAAGAATAAATGAGCTAGCCGAGTGAAGAACTCCCCTTGTTTTATTTTAAGTTATAAGAACTGGCCCTAGTGAAGGTCTGGCTTTTGAAGAGAACAGCCTGGAAAGAAGATAAAATCTTCCTAAGCATGAAAGAAGCTCACAGGGGGATTTTAAGCAGGAAAAACCAAAGCCAAGCCTCGTCTGGAGAACGGTCCCAATGGCTTTTGTCTTTGATAAATGAGACACCTGTGACTTGGGATTACATTTCTGTAACTGTGTTTAAATGTAATTTTCTAACAGAATTGGTGCTTGTTTCAGTGTTAAATGTATGCAAAGAAAAACATTTTAATAACGTTCAGTTCTGCGAAGGCTGAAGGGCACCTCCCCACTGGTGCACAATGCTCTTTGCGGCTCTAGACAGTGACCTCCTGAAGTAAAGACTGTGCCCATTCATCGTTGTGTCTCCAGCGCCCCGCACAAGGCCAGGCACAATTCAGGTGATTGGCAAGTGTTTAATGGACAAGTGGTGAAAAAACATAACTTTCTGCCCTGGCCAGGTTGCAATGTGGTTAGAGCATCAGCCCACCGACTGAAGTGTCCCAGGTTCAGTTCTGGTCAAGGGCATGTACCTCAGTTGCAGACTCAATCCCCAGCCCCAGGGCATGTGTGGGAGGCAACCAATCAATGTGTCTCTCTCCCATTGATGTTTTTCTCGATCTCTACCCTTCCCTTCCACTCTCTGTAAAAATGAATGGGAAAACACCCTAGGGCAGCCGTGGGCAAACTACGGCCCACGGGCCGGATCCGGCCCGTTTGAAATGAATAAAACTAAAAAAAAAAAAGACCGTACCCTTTTATGTAATGATGTTTACTTTGAATTTATATTAGTTCACACAAACACTCCATCCATGCTTTTGTTCCGGCCCTCGGGTCCAGTTTAAGAACCCATTATGGCCCTCGAGTCAAAAAGTTTGCCCACCCCTGCCCTAGGGTGAAGGTTAACTATATATGTATATGTATATGCATATGCGTATATGTATATGTATATGTATATGTATATGTATATGTATATATAGCTTCCTGTGGAACAGAGAAAAGCGGGAAGCAGCAAATCCATGTATCAGTTCACCATGTCAGGCAAAGTGACTCAAGCATGTGTAACATCAGAATCAACCACTTTAGATGGCTTCCCTGCCTTAGTCAGCCAGCCTTTGGTGGCAGAAGCTGGCATTGGATTCTGTATCGCGCCCCTCCTCCCTCCAGCTTACCCCTGTACACATCTGTAGGTCCCTCTCCCAGCCATTGTCCCAGCAGGCTTTCAGATCATAGGGCCTCCAGCTTCTTAGGTATGTGGAGGTCAAAGTGCCTTCCTGCCATGCCTACTCCAGCCTCCATATCTACAGGAAAACCTTCTCTCCTTCCAGCATAAGGCCCACTTTATTCTTCCACTTGGGCAACCTCATCTCTGACCAATCTTGGGGCCTGTTCTCTGTTCTACCCTCGGCCAGGGCTACAGCCTTGTAGCTGAAAATACATCTTTCTCCAGGGACAAGCAAACCACCACTTGTCCCAGATGTGTTTCTCGTCTGGCCCCTCTCCCAGCTTTGTAGGGTAAGCTGAGGGAGCCACAGTTTACTGGCTTTCTTTGCTAACTGCAGACGAGGCAGGCTGCTCCTCACTGTGAGAGGTAGCCAGGTCCTGGGGGAAAAGATTGGCTCTTCTTGAAGCTGGTGCGGGTGAAGCCTGCACAGTATAGAATAGGAGAGGAGCACAGAGAGGGGAGGCCTTCAGGGCACCAGTGAACAGTATAAGGAAGCCAGTCTGGCTTGGGTTGGGACTGGGGAAAAGTGGGAAGCCAGATTGGAGCGATCAGGGGTAGGGTGGGGTGGGCAGTCAAGATTATGAATGCCAGAGTGGGGAGCTGCAAAGTTTCCAAACTCCAATCAACAGGAAACTCACAGAAGAGAACCCTGATACCCAAGGACCAAAGGTGGAGACTGCATAGAGACTGGTAGGAGGGGCAGAGGTGAGAAAGGGCTGGCTGGGCACCCACAGACAGCAGCTGAAGTCCTGGAGAGATATCTCAGCTGTGGAGGGGTGCCACTGAGAACTCTGGGATCTAATCCCCAAGCTGGGCTCCCCAGCAGAGAGCACCAAATCTGAGGAGGGTACCCACATAACATCTAGCTGTGAAAAGCAGCAGGGTGCTGCGGCCAGGAAGTGGCAGCTGAAAGTTCGGGTACCCTCTTGAAAGGCCAATGCACAAAATTCCCTGTGGAGCCACCCACCTTGTGCTCTGGCAGAGGGAGGGTGAAGTGGACTGGAGCTGTGAGAGCAGAACCTGGTAAAGTAAAAAGTCACACAAGTTCAGGAGGCACAGAGATCCCAAATAAGAAGAACCCAAACAGACCTACACCCAGACACATCATAGTTAAAATGCCAAAAAATAAAGACAAAGAGAAATCTTAAAGGCAGTAAAAGAAAACTGTTACCTACAACGGAGTTCCCATAAGGCTGAAACTTGATTTCTCTTCAAAAACTCTATAGACCAGAAGGGAATGGCATGAAGTACTCAAGGTAAGGAAAGCAAGGATCTGAGACCAAGATTACTATATCCAACAAGGCTTTTATTCAAAATAGACAGTCAAACAAAGAGCTTCCCAGACAAAAAAAAAGGCTAAAGGAGTTTAACATCACCATGCCAGTATTACAAGAAATGCTAAAGGAATTGCTGAGAAGAAGAAACAGAGAAAGAAACCTAGCCATACAGAATTAAAATAGCTATAAATAAGTGCCTCTCAATAATAACCCTAAAGGTAAATGGATTAAATGCCCCAATCAAAAGGTGTAGGGTAGCTGAATGGATACAAAAACATGACCCAACTATATGTTGTCTACAAGAAACCCACCTCAAAACAAAAGACACACACAGGATGAAAGTGAAGGGATAGAAAAAAATTTTCCATGCAAATGGAAAAGAAAAAAAAAGCTGGAGTAGCAATACTCATATCCGACAAAATAGACTTTAAAATGAAGGCCATCACAAGAGACAACAAAGGTCACTACATAATACTAAAGAGATTGATCCAACAAGAGGATATAACCCTGGTAAACATATATGCACCCAATATAGGTGCACCTAAATATATTAAAAAACTTCTGGAGGACTTTAACAGAGAGGTTGAC